ACAGTGGAAGAGAATTTAATTTTTTTTTTCTTTTTGCTAAAAGTACTGCCATAACTGGTATGACAGGAAGCAGTCACTGTTTTATAGTAGTACCACACCTAGGTCTATTGAAGTTAAAGAATGCAAGAAAATGATTCATTTTTAGTTTTGCTACCAAAGGAAAAATAGACTTTTGTATTTAGACATTTAGAGATCTGCTTCTGACATACGAAATGCGTACAGAGGATAACTAGATATATTTTCTAGAAAAGACTGACAGCGTTTGTCTGTGTTAAATTCTGATGCTGTGATCAATTAAAGGTAAAATCATGAGATCTGCACAATTTCTGTACTTGCCCTGGGAGTGTGTCCTACTCAGACCAATAGTGACTTTATAAAAATATAATATTAAGCTGTTCTAATTCCATCAGAAAAATGTGGGTCCGGAAGGAAATTTTTGATTGCAAGTTAATGTTAGCCTTCACTGGAATAAGTTACACTCTTCAATATCCACACGTGTAATCCCTTGGGAATTATATGACTACATGTATTCTTTCCCAGCTGCTGCTAAATAAAGAGATTCAAGAGGCTTTCAGTGTCATTATATAGATTAGTAACTCTCCCAAGAGGATTCTCGGTTCATGATACAGCGAATAACTTCCAATGAGATCTAGACGACCAACTTTCAGGGAGATCATTTTGTGTTTGTCTGAGTTTTACACCTGCAATTATTTGTGCCTGTAATTTAAGTTACTTAGATGTTTTTAATTTATGGATGCAATCAGTGATGTAGATATTTAAATAAACTGAACTGCAGGCAACTATAAATGCAGGTGCAAAATTTTGCCTGCAATTATTAGGACTCATAAACATATAGAACTTCTGAAGTCTAAAATCAAATTAGGCTAGTAGTGGTTTTATAGTGTTTTTAATAAAGTAAAAAACTTACTTACACATTTTTCCTGTCTCCCCCCTCCAGAATCTCAAGGCAGCACTTTTCAGTGTTAAAAGGAAAAGGATATAATTAAATATATACAAACTAACATGCACATAATAATTAATTTGATTCCATCTTTTAGTATCTTGACCTTTGGGGTATTTTTCTTATTCCCTTTATGGAGCCTCTAGCAGGAAATCATAAAAGATTCATGATTTTGTAACAGTAATACTGTTGATAGTTGCACCAGTAGAGAGCGACAGTCTTATATGCCCGGAGATCAAAGTGTTGCAAAATTTGTAGCACTACTTAGGCAGTGAAAGGCACTATGAATATGCACACACACTGGCACTTAAATTTCCATCTGGCAGACAGTTGTGGTACGCCGTTGTATCATGGGAGTGAAAGGCATTACTATACAGATGCATGAGGAAACTCACTCTAATGGAAACTACCTGTCTAAAGATAGACAAAATACGTCTGTGAGTGAATACGTGTGTCAATGAAACTGGATTGTATTTTGAGCCTCTGCTCACTCAGAAAGAGTTAATTGTCATAAGGAAAATCATTAGCACATATTTTAGTTAAGAAAGTTATTAGAGAGAATTTTATGTACTGAGGAGAAAGAAAATCATTCCCTGAAAAAACAGAAAGTTCTTACTGATAGTCCTACATACAGGGACAGTGTCACAGATCCTTTCCTCCACCTCTAGAGTCCCATCAGGTAGCGCTGGTTTGCTGCAGAGAGGGCACGGGGATGAAACCAAACTCTAAGCCTTTGCTCCTGTCAGCTCACTCTAGTCCGGTTTAAGAAAACTCTGTCACATGAAGATCTTCATGAGACATTGGATTCTGGAACACTGCCCAAGAGGATACCTCACGCACCACACGCAAAAACCTAAAAATACCAAATGGATTACTACATTTTCCTCAATGTTATTTCAGTCTAAGAACAAACAGAGTTGAAAGATAATAGAAACAAACTTACTTTCACTTTTTATCACAATACATTTTAACCATGAAAGCTCACTTTTCAGGCGATATGCAGAAATGCTTCCAAACTGATTCCACTCCAACACTTCCTACACTATGATGACATTCCTCTCATCCATCTCAACGCAATTTATAAGATAATTTTTTAAAGATACATATCTTATTTTATAAGATAAAGCCCTCACAACATCACGTTCTTACTTTGCCTGGAGCTGTGCCTAATCCTCACTCTGAGTTTCTCAAAGAGAAAAAGCGTAGACAAGGTAGGTTTAGATGACTGAGAAATAAGGAAGACTTACCAAAGGTTTACCAAAGAATTCCAACTAAAGTTTCCTGTTAAACTGTTAGAAAGGGATTATGCAATGGTAAGGTTTTAGACTAATTATATCCATCAGTCTAGTTACTGATAAAAAACAACAAGATTGCACAGCAGATATGTTAGATACCTTTTGACACCACATCTACAGGTAAGACAAATTTGTGAAAGGAAGAATCATGTAAAAGTTGCTGCCCCAATTATTACTGTTGTAATTTCTTATTTAGTGATCTACTCTTGTTTTCTGCAGCATGTGCCCCACCTGCCAATAGTCTCTTTATCTGCAGAGACATCTGTAAAGAAACTTGACATGCTTTTTCTTTAGAAAGTAATGGAGTCTGTGTCTCAGCGATGTGGCAGTTTCTGCTGAATTATTTATTCTTTTAAAAAACTTGCAATGTGCTCTTTGAGCAGCAAACCTGCCTCAGCAGGTTTAACTTGAACATCTCTTTTGAAATGTTTTCTTTTTCTCTTCTGATCCAGCACCCTTCTTAACTTGATTCTTCTGCAGAGCAGAAATTTTGCCACCTTGGTACTGAATAAACAAAACAAGCCAACCTTCTCTTCCAAATTACTTTTAAAAGTATGCACAGTATTTTACCTTACAAATGGACAAAATATTTCATGTAACAGTCCGAGTAAATGCAACACAAGCTATTTGCAGCACACACCATGGTTTTTTTTTAGTCAAGCCTTCTTTCTGCATTTTATTACTTAAAATAATAACACACTTTTAACCAACAATACCTCAAAAGAAAATAATTTTAGATTGAATTTGCTTTTCCTTTTGGATCTCTAATTTTCTCCAAATTTCCTGGACAAACTTTTTCTTGCATAGTTCACAAACATCTCATTAAGCTTGCTTAGTAATCAACTCTGTGCATTTAGAACTCAGCTAGATTAGCAGGAGATTATCATTCCACTTTTGCAGCAGTATAATTTGCCATGATCTCACAGTCTGTAAGCGTAACTGCAATTTGTAACCACACTACTTCCTTGTTCACCATCATCCGAGACCATTGCACAGTCAATATAAACAGCATTTCACTAGGTATGACTATATGATTACCAGGTATTCTATAGAGTTTAAATCAAGTGAAAACATGTGAAAACTACAGAGAGTAAACTAGAGGACATGAGAATACATTTACATTGTTTTAACTGGGGTAAACAAGCAGTCATAACCGCAGTGTCATTGGAAATTTGAGCCTGGTGAATCTGGTGCGAATGAAAAGAAAATTTGTAAGCAGATTTGCAAGCCAAGGGTGGGTACAGAGCTCAAAATGCAATGGTTTCTCTTGCAATTGTAGCTGATTTGGAAGGAGCAGGTGTTAAAGCAGTTTGAGTTCTGAGTTCTGGGGATCCTGAGGTAATTTCTGTGAAAATACATCAAATAGTATCAATATTGATACATAACACGGTAGATTCTTCTGGGTATGTTTTACTGTAAGCTAAAATTGCTGAAAAGCCCACAAGTGTCAGTGAGCTTTAACAAAATAGCTGTCTGCAGTACAAGAAGGAACTCTGCATGATTTATGATTTTGTACGGAAACCATGTAGAACAGGCAGTACAGTAAAAAGAGTGAACCTCAGCAGTGCTGACAACAGCCCTGTGTTCTCCTTTCAGGTTATGAAAATTCACAGGAGGACATCACCTGACACCAGCTGAAAACTAACTAAATAGCTGTGTGACTAAAAAATGAGAGGAATCAATTCTTAATCAGCAATAATTCTCAATGAAGCAGTTTAACTTAACTTTCTGCCATGATGCACTGGCTTGTTTACGATGAGATTTTCTTCCTGAAAAGAATTTATTTTTTAGTAAGCAAAAATATTCCTTCTTGTGTGAAACTGAGCGATCTGGACTCTTCTTTATTGATCCAAATCCTACTGAAGTCAAAGTAGTCCTTTTTATTTTAATAGAGTTTATAACAGGTCTTTTGCAAAGAAGCTTTAAGCAAGTTTAGAGAACGTAACTACTCCCTCCCTTTTGAAAGACTACATGTTTGTTGGTGTTTCTTTAAGCATCCAAGATCCCTGGAGTTTTGTGTACCTCTGGACATTTCTTCCTTTTCTTCTTCAGTTTTTACAGAAAGTCTATGATCCCAGTTCTAAGTAAAAAAAAGTTTGGTACCATTAGTTTTTCAGACACAAAACATAAAGAAGAGTAGACTACTGCTACAGTCAAGCATTAAGCAAAAATGCTTCAAAGAATTTAACTTCTGAATACCGACATAAGTGTATTGCCCCAGATGGACATACACCACTAACAAATATAACTAGGCTTCCATGAATAACACTCTATATTTTGATTCAGGATTTGTAACAGAAATAAATTTTGGTTTTAGAGAAACCGGAAAAATGGTGAAATGTACGTTATGATAATGAACGTATAAAACTGACACCTGAGGATATAAAAAATCACAAATAATCATAGAGAGTGGAAAGAGAAAGGCAATGCTCTCCATTGTCTCTGAGATCTGCCCTACATAGGGACCCCTGAGAAACCACAAAGTATAAAGCAGTGCCTCGTAATGTAATCAATACCTGTACTTTGTAGAAAAGGTGCATTTACTACACATACAGACACAGAAGGTAGCAGTCTATAGAGCCCTGGTACTGCAGCTCGAGTCTGCTACCATTTGAGCTAAAGCAGAACTACATTCACCAGCAGTAACAGCAACTCATTTATCCCATCTGTGGGCAAGCTATAAGGCAGCACACCACACACACAGCCAGTATTATTTTTCAAACCAAATAAGTAGAGAAAGGGAGTAAGGAGAAAAATACAACCTTATATTAAGTTTAATATATAGGCTATCTAATTAATTCATTTCTCAAAATTATTTAAGCCTCTGGGAATGCAGTCGTCCTACAAGACATTAGAGTTAAATGGTACTACATCACAACAAGTCAAGCACATAAAAACTGCTTAGAGATGATGAATAATGAAGTATTACTTGAGATTTTCAGCTCTTTCACTCCATACTTGTTTGTGATGATGTGGTAAAAAAAATGCTTTGGATCTCAGTTTTAACCATTTTACTGAACATCTGGTGTTTGCTGCTTAAAGTTTCACTATTACCAGGGTCATTGTAATTCTATAGCACATCTGGGCCAAATTCCGTGGCAGTTTTAGTGAGTTCTGCAGCAGTGGAAACATCTGTAGCTGTGCACAGTTCCACACACAGAACTGTTAAGAGTTTCAGAATGTTCTTGGGTCTTTCACATTTCAGTGTCCAGAAAATCACCCATAGGTAATAGATGATCTTTTCATGTTTTTTTTTTTTAATCTTCAGCGGAATATGCCAAAATTGAGTAAAAATGTACACATTCTAATTGCTAACATTTAATTTTCATCAGTCACTAAAGGTACCATCTTCATGTTTTCAGAAGCATACACAGAATTTACAAACATTTTCTTGCAAGAGGATGGATTGATACAATATGAAAATGGCCCACTGTCACTGAAAATTTTGAGAACTGCCACATAAAGCCTAGGCTACAGAAGTTGAAAAGAATAAGGAGGAACTTAGCAACAAAATCTCTCAACAAAGGACCAGACACAGGAATCATTAATGCTATTTTTTAAAGTAAAAGTAAAGATTAAGAACGTGGAGCATTAACTCACATGTGTCATTTCTGTGCAACCAACTTTTGTGTTAAAATTCTTTTAATAATGTTATAGCATAATCTAAGTTTCAGTTATTTGTTTTAAAATCACAGAATAAAATTTTTACTTCTTACAAAGAAAGGCCATGACAATGAATGGCCCAGAATAGTCTCTTATTCCACAGACTCTGAAATATTTGTGCCAACCAGTTAAGATTAAATCAATATGTTACAACTGCCTGGACTTGATTCAAAACTTTGCTTTGCAAGAAAAAAAAAATCCTAGCACCAAGCTTCTTCCTAGTAGCATAACACATCGCTGACTAAGCCATGAGACACATGAGACAAGTAAACTAAATTTGTTCTGTTATCCGCTGAGTCACTCAGCAGTTCTTGTTGTATGTGCTCAGACTGGCAAACTGAATCATCTGACAGAGTAAGAGCCCCTCTGTACCTCAGCCTAAATCCTAATCTGAATTAAACCCTAAATTCTTAAGAATTTGTAAGTGAGAAGTACTCTTTTTGCTAAATTGGTTTATCAGAGAAGATTTTGACACTGTTGGGTGCAGACAATTTCCTTCTCGAAGCTAGCTGAGGGGACATCTGACATTAACAACAATATGACTTGGTTGACAAGGAAATCTCTGTGTGCATGGTATTTGAATTAAAAGAGTCTAAAAGATGCTCAATCCTAGAAAAAGCCTGCACCATAGTTACGATGATTCTGAAGTAATGCTAATAGAAATAAGGGATATGTGAGCAACTGCTAGCCAGCTACTTTGGTTGATGTCAGCCAAGAAGTTGGGTGAAAAATACAGAAGTTATTATAGTAAATGTACTGAAGGCAATAAGGCTTATGCTGGGGTGACATTGAGTTAGGCTACATAATTTTTTCAGCCTCAGAAGGAGTTGTGAAGGAAAAAAACATAATACTCTGAGAGGATCATTTGGAGGTGTAAGACGACATGGACCAATAATAAGCAAGAGGAGTAAAGACCTGGATAACCTGTATATACAGATAATGCAGTTTGAAGTGCATAGGAGGGAGGGTCCGTGACAGGAAATGGGGTCAGAAAGATTTAAAATACATTTAACAACTGCATTTAATAACTCCTTGCTATAAGGCAAGCAGTGTTTCTTCATAAGGGCTTATGAAATGCCCACACCTTCCTAACACAGCTTTCCTCAGATGCTCATTTCCATCTCCATACCACAGTTTTCCACACTCATTTGTGTTGATACAATTGTTAGCATGTCTGCACTGTACACCACATCACTGAAGAGTGCAGGGAGGAATGCAAAAAAGGAAGTGCAAGGCAGCTGGGAAGAGTGGAAGTCTTCTCCTGGAAGAAAGAAAAATACATGGAGATGAGAGGAAGAGAGCAAAAGAATGTCAGATCCATGATGGATGAGTAATATCTGGAGCCTTTACAGTTTGAAATTCTGTTCAGGGCTGACTGAACGGATGTTCTATAGGGATAAAAAGACCTTTCACTTTGCTATATTTGTTTTCATACAGATTACACAAAGTTGATCTTGAAGGCAGGGAATCTGAGCAGCAGGCTAGGTGTAATGCAGAGAACTGACAGAAAGAACTAGAGAAGATGCCTGGAACAGGACATTCATGATAGTCCCTGCCACACTGGGGGAGAAATTCCTTCCTTACCCCAAAACTGTAAATAGCTAAGAGCCTGAGCCTTCAAAAATAAACCATCCTGGAAAAAAAAAAAAGGATTTCCTTTTCACCTTGGAGCACTAATCCATGCCATCACAGCTTCAGCTGTATCCAATCTTGCTTAAAAGGAAGGGAAAAAAAACCCTCCATCATACATCTCGTCAATTGTGCATTAAGAAAAAAATAATCCCTCTTGATCCCTGACAGTGACTTGCTGAAGCTCTGAAGCATGATGTAAGAACAGTTATTACTATAATGGAAATCTGCAAGCATTATGGGTAGGTTTAGGACAGTGCAAGGTTTCCTGTTCTCCTCCAGTCTTAATAAAAGAATGGGGATGAGTTAGGAGACCAGATTACAAACTCAAAAGGGAATCCCTTTAGGACCATCCAACCCATCATATGAAGAATACAAACCCTCATCTAGAAACATTAAATAATATTGTAAAACCTCAAGTAATAGCCCTCCAGCAAAAGCCCTCAAACAAAAACCCTCCAGCTGATTGTTCCAGTGTTTTCCCACATTCAGAGAAAACTGAAGGCTGAATTTGCTTAACTACAAATTCCAGGTACTGTTTGTGGTGAGCAAGGTTGAACACCCGTGATCTCACAGGTGCCAGAAAACTTTTTCTGTAGGTAGAAAATACATCTATACATAGCAATCAAATCACTTTTCGATTTTCTCTTTCACAAACAGAAAAAAATGTAACCCCTTGAATTTTATAACACAAGGCTTATTTCCTCCCAAGACAGTTTTGTGGTTCTCTCAGATTTCTTCAGTATCGCTATATTTTCCTTAAAGTGTTGATTTAATACAGTATTTTATCAGTAGTCTTACCAAAGTTATGCACAGAGGCAAAATTCTGTACTTCCTTACTATTCCTTAGTTGCACATAGCATTTTTCTTTTTATATACTACGACTGCATGACCCTTTTTGCTATAGTGTAGTCCTACGAGCTCATGTTGATGCAATTATCTTTAACTACTAATTCTTTCTGTTACTGCTTCCAAAGACAAAGTCTTCTGCATTGTTAATATAACAAGTAAAATCTGAATTTCAAATCCTCCGTGAATTACTTTGTATTTGGCTTTATTAAAATGCATTTAGTTGGATGGTGACCATGTAATTGGGTGTAATTAGACAGCAATAATCTGTTTTCATTTACTGCCCCACCAGTCTTTGTCAGTTGAATCATACCAACTGAATCACACCAACTGAATCACACCAACTGCATTAAATGTTCACCAGACAGAAAATACAATTCCGACTTTAAATGCTTATTTTAATTTCTAATTTTTGTATGTGGCTTCTTTGTTTTTATTTAACTGAAACTCTTCCTGCTCTTAATTATTGTTTGCTTCTTGACTCACAAACATTGAGTGCCTGGGTCAATTATATATTCGATTTTAGAGATAACGATGGACTTTGAAGCATTTCCAAACTAAGCTTGAGAAAAAAAAAGACTTTAACTGATAACATTTCAGCAAATGTATTTAAAGCATGTGAGAGTATTAGTTTCACAACAGTGAAATTCTGAATTCTGTCATCTGCCTGGCAGACAGAAAATTTACCCTGCCAGGATAACTGGGTCTGGTGACACCACAAATCCTCTTCAGTCTGTTTGAAGCTCCATTCAGTAAACTGGTTTGCTGAGTGGGATAGATTTTTTTCCCAAAGTGATTTATATAATTAGGACTGGATGTTGTAGCACTGAAGGCTTGACAGTAAAGCCTTCTTGGCTGATTACTTGGATAAATTATTTTCTAGGTGTTGTAAGTGAATAACGGCAACTATGGTGGCCACATTTTTCTACTCTTAATAAACAGTACCTATCAGACATCTTCAGAGTATGTATTATATATCTTGACAGATTATATCTTACACTATCTTCTCTCCATCCAATAGTCACATGCACCACTTTTCCTCCTTCAGGTGAGCAAATGACTTCTTAGTAGTGATGACAGAAAATGCCGTATGAAAAATATTAACTGTCTAGAAAGGAGACGAACTAAAGAGCCAATAGTAGCACGCGGTCAGCTAGTTTTCAACTGAGTAACCATGGAGGTAGTGAAAATAGCTTGTTGAATGAAACTGAAGTTGAAAACCACAGTCTTAGTGATAATAGCCTTACTAATCCTCTGTTGTTTTCTCTTTAATAAATGATTCCAACCATTTAATGTTGTTTTTCTTCATTTTGCATTACATTTTATCATAGCCACAGTGAGATATTTTGGTGTCCAGGGAATATCTCCAAACCCTGGGCACTGCTCCCACCAGCTGCCTTTGCCTCTTGAT